TGCCCATGGTGTCAGAGGGTGGAGGTTGTAGGGGGCTTCCAGGAGGTTGGGTTGGTCAGGTGTAGATGTCTCCTGGGCCCAGGTCTGCTGGGGGGGTGGCTCCTTCCTTGTTATTGTCTGTCCTAGTAAGTAGGTGACTATCTAATTAGCCAGGGGTGTTTTTCTGACTAAATTTCCCAAAGTGGATGGAAGGCACCGTCTGTATTCTGTTGTTTGGGGTCCATCCGCCAGCCTCTCCCTGAATCGCCACCCGTGTGTCGTTCTTGCCTGAGCTGCTGCAAGGGGGGCTGGCAGGTGCCATTCCCTCTCCTGGACCTGGTCCTGGTTGCCTCGGTCTTATTTTTCAGAGCAGGTCATGTCCAGCCTTCAGTGAGAGTGATTATTGCAGGCCTACAAGCCTTCTTGGTGACCTACATGCTGGTCTGAGGGTTCGTTCCTTACGGGTCTGGTGGACAGGAGGGCCTGAATGATTACAAGACTGCTGGCAGGAGGAACTGGAGGTGTCAGTGCACATCCCCTTCCCACTGGGAACCACGGCCCATTTGCTAGACTTCTTCATACGAAATGCAGAACTCTTATAAGGTGGAAAATGTAGTGAGATTTTTATTTTATGTTTTTGTTCCAGCCACAAACATCCAAATTGAGTTTTAGAGTTTCTCGGGAATTGGGGCACAGAAATCAACTGTATCACAAAATTCAGCCCGCTCATTCCCTCTCTCTGGGGCTGATGTTCACTCTATGACTTCCTTTCTTTCTGGCTTTAATAGGGGGCACTCACTGGTGTTTCTCTGTTTCTGTATTTACTGTCCAACCCAAAATACATGGCCCCCATGTTCTGGCCTCTTGCTCTAATCACCCCATTCCCATCTCATTCTCTGCATCAGGTCTCAGCTCTGAAGATCCCCTATGCTGATCTGCTTTAGTATTCCAGTTGAGATCAGGTTTGTCTTTCTAGGTGTTGTATTAAAAAAAAATGTATACGTGTGTGTGTGTGTGTGTGAGAGAGAGAGAGAGCGAGAGAGAGCACCACACACATATTCTAGAGGCAAAGAAGAAGTACAGGTAGCAGACATCTCAATCATGTGGACATCTGCTTGTATTTATTCATGGAAGGAAATGGGATGAGATCCTGAAGGGCGCAAATATCGCAACCAAATTCCTGGGCGACCACCACCTGTGTCATGAGGTGATGAGTGCTGGCTGCCAGTCCATCCGTGACACCTGTGGATCAGGAAATGGGCAGCAGAGACAAGTTGGTGACTCTACGATGACATCTTTAAGTGCATTAGTTAAGATCATAAGACCAAACCAAACCCCTAGCAACATTTTTATCATATTGATTTCCTTCCCAAACACCTGAGTGACATGGTTTTGTTCATAAGCTTGTGTGTGTGCACAGCAGGAAAGATGTATGCAGCTGTACTGTGAAGCAGTGTGGTGTCCCCGAGGGGTCAGATTCTCACTGGATTACTGATTATGAGAGGCCAAGGGAAGAACAAAAAAAGAGTTTTGATTCTGAGGGGAGGAGGTTTCTACACAGGCTGAGGGAGGCTAAGTGAACTCTCACCACAGCTACAAGGGTGCAGCACAGGCTCCTTACAGACCCGTGTGCAGAGTCAGCCCTAAGCCAGGGGCTCTCCAAGTCGCTGCTTGTCGCAGTCACCTGGGGAGTGCTGAGAACAGCAGTGCCTGGCTTCTGCCCAGGGACATTCTGAGTGAGTCATGGTCAGGTATGGATGCATATCAGAGGGTTCTAGAGCTCCTCAGGTAATGGCGACGGGTAGCAAAGTTTGAGAAGCAGCCATCAATTAGTCTATATTGAGTGCATTTGTGGAAGTTTAAATTGAGAACAGGCATAGCTAAAACAATTAAAATGCAACTGGTGATGACAAAATAATAGAGAAGATGATCCTGAATTTGAAACACTGAGCTCCAAGCATTACAGATGGAAGCCCTGGTAATTCTCTTTAGTATTTTTTTTTTATTTATTTTTTGACAGGCAGAGTGGACAGTGAGAGAGAGAGACAGAGAGAAAGGTCTTCCTTTTTTGCCGTTGGTTCACCCTCCAATGGCCGCCGCAGCTGGCGCACCGCACTGATCCAATGGCAGGAGCCAGGTACTTATCCTGGTCTCCCACGGGGTGCAGGGCCCAAGCACTTGAGCCATCCTCCACTGCACTCCTGGGCCACAGCAGAGAGCTGGCCTGGAAGAGGGGCAACCGGGACAGAATCTGGCACCCCGACCGGGACTAGAACCCGGTGTGCTGGCGCTGCAAGGCGGAGGATTAGCCTAGTGAGCCGTGGTGCCAGCTATTTTAAATTATTTTTACTTTTTTAGGTCACAGTACCAAGACCAATGGTCCTACATGGGTGAGAATGGACCAAGAGGTCATGAACCACAATGGGTGATTTCTATAAATAGGACACTGGGTTATTTGGAAAAATAAACTCAGAACCAGGACAAGTATCACTTTGTGAAATCCCTGCTAAGTTCTACTCATAGTTGGGGAGGTAGAATTGATAATTAACAACAGAATTCCACGTACTAATTATCTAAACTCCTCCCAATATGTGCCTCTGTTATTATATGCAGTCCTACATGGAGAGCAGTTTTTTTTTTTTTTTTTTTTTTCAGATAAATCTGACAAAGACTCCAGGGCTGCCTTGTTGGTACTGCTTTTGAGTCAGGTCTAAAGCCAGTCAGGATACCCCCTGGTAAATAGCAGAACTGCCCGCAGGAGACCAACACTGGGCCCTGCCAAAGCATCATCCCTTGGGAACTCAGATGTGTCCTAGTTTCTGATTGGGGTTGATGTGTGGTCTCCATCTGGGTTTGCATGACTGTGGTTCCCCAGTCTGCATCGTTATGAGAGGGTTCAAGAGTACTGATCTAGCGGCATGGAATCCCACAGAACTGCACTGGGATCAACAGACTCCACCCACAGCACAGGAGGTGTGATGTCGGGCAGCGGGCAGGGAATCCAGGGCTCCTGCTTTATCTGCACCATCCAGACACAGTTGCATGGATGGCGTGGTGCAGCCACCTCTTGAAGCCGTGGCTGAGGTGACAGCTTGGAGCTGACATCCTGTGAGGATGGAGCACTCTCTTCCAGGATACAACACACCCTAAACCCATGCCAATCCTTGGTGCTGTCACCAATAGGGAAAAGGCTTTCACATGGAGAGGTGAGGAGTGGAAAGAGGAGCTGCCTCACTTATTTCATTCCTCACGACCCACCGTGCTAGGGAGAGTCTGTGCCTCACGCCTGCATAATTTTAGTCTCTGTGGAGCAAGAGGCCCTGGATCCAGGAGGGGAGGAGCCACCTCCAGGAGATACAGTGAAAGTGCCCCTCAATTAAATCTTGGCTGCCACCTCTTCATTGTGGACTTCTGGGGCTAGGGTGCAACATGCAAAGAAAGGAGCTATTCCACAGGCGACCGACCTCACAACCAGCAGACAGTGGGAGCCCTGCTGCCCATAGGGACAGAGACAAAGACATTGATCATTTAGGTGATCCATGGGGACACTGTGGCATTTCTAGTTCCAGTTTTGGCCCTACAGGGGTAAGTACCACATTTATAGTCCCACAAGGACGTAGTAACCAAGAGGTCTAAATTCTTAGGATGAGGACTGAGGTTAATCCACCACCCAGTTCACCTTCCCCAGAAAACGTGCCCACGAACCCACCATAGTTTCTCTAGAATTGTGAGCCATCAGTTGGCAGGAGCTGAAAGAGAGCAGTAGATGGCCCTGAGATATGCCCGGGTAGATGCTAGGAAGCCTTGTCCAGACACCTTCTCCCAGAGAGCTGCTCTCATCCCCAAGCTAGGGTGAGTGGGGACTCCTGGTGGCTCTTATCGTTCCCCTGCACTGTTTACCAGGTAATTGTCCTCAGCCCATGGGGACCACCTCATCTGGAGTCTGGGGGGCTTCTGCTCTCTCTGTCCCACTGCCTTGGATCCAACATGGCCCACACCTTGTGAAGACTGGTACAGGGGTGCAGTGGTCCAAGCACCCTGCCTCTAGGGCAGGCAAGTGTGTGGTCCCCCTCACACTCTGCACTTTCCTGTTGTGGCAGATGACAGAATTCAACCAGCCACACTTCGGCATAGCTCCTGCTACTACCATGTCCTGCTTGCCTCTGCATCTTATGGATTTCCCAGGAAAGCACTTGTATGGGAGTCCTTGTTCCACTATCACTGCTAGTAAAGGCAATGTAGGTCTCAGGTCTCACAGTGGTTGCATCGCAAACACAGCCCCCCTCTCCTATGCATGTAACCTGATTGTTGTGGAGCAGTGGGAAGAACGTCAGAGACAATGACTGTGACAGCGTCTGCATAAAAGCTGAAGGTGAAATAGAAGCTGTCCGGGGGATTTGCCACGGCAGTTGCCAGGGAGCTCCGGAGCTCCCCATGAACCACATCAGCCATTCCCACTCTACGGAAAATGTGTCAAAGGACGTTCCTAGGGAGATCAGAAACACTGATGTCTTAGATTGGGCCACCTCTAGAGCAGACCAAGTTATAGGAGTTTTGTTGCAGGTTGTTCATTTGGGAGATGATCCCAAGAAGCACTGCAGGTAACCTGAACTGGGACATGAGCAGGGCAGGGAGGGAACCATGCAGAGGGAGGGAGGGAGCAGAAGACCCTGCACGCAGCTGGTTTTGATCCCACAAGGACCCTGGGAGACTGGCACAAACGCCTTGCTTGGAGGCAGGTGGGAGGGGGGCATCTGTTCACCACCTCCTTGTAATGGGTGAGCGCTGATCCAAGAGGCTTTAACTCTCCTGTCCGGGGCTCGCTCCTTTCTCCAGAAAGAGGCCTCGGGCTTCCTCCAAGGAACCATCTTCCCACTTTGTGACAAGAATGCAGAGGGAAGAGGGGCAGTACCCCTGAAATCGTCTGCTGCTGTCCTCGCATTCATTAGAGGCGAACAACAGAAAATTGCCAGATAAGCTTCAAAATTCCATCAGGAAAAGTAAGACACACTGAACACATATTTGAGAGACTTGAAAATTCAAATGTATTGAAAATGAGGGAATATCTCCATGTCACAATTATAAGAGAGAGTAAATACTTCAATTTGGGTTATATGATAGTTGACAGATTACAAGAGGCAGAGAGACAAACACGAGAGAAAGAGAGACAGACAGACATGCCTGGGATAATAAAATTGGAGTCCAAATACACGTTGAGAATCTGTTGGGACTGAAGTCTTATAATCAGATCTTCATGATTCAGCTCACAGAGCAGCTACAGGCAGAATATTGGTTCAAGAAGATCGGTGAGTGGAGGTGAGAATTTTCAGCAGCAAGAACCACTAGAGCAGCAGGGGCGGCAGCAGGTGGACACACAGCAGCTGGGGCGGCAGCACTGAGTTCTACAGCAGGTGGTCTGGCAGCAGATGGGCCTGCAGCAGCTGGAGATGCAGCAGGTGGGGCGGCAGCAGGTGGGCTGGCAGCACACAGACTGGCAGCACTGGGGCCTGCAGCAGCTGGACACACAGCAGCTGGGGCGGCAACAGGTGGTCCTGCAGCAGGTGGTCTGAAGGCAGCTGGGGCAGCAGCAGCTGGAGATGCAGCAGCTGGGGCGGCAGCAGGAGGGCTGGCAGCACTGGGGCCTGCAGCAGCTGGAGGTGCAGCAGGTGGGGCGGCAGCAGGTGGGCTGGCAGCAGCTGGGGCGGCAGCAGGACTCCTCCTGGCAGAAGTCTTGGCCACAGCCCTGCTCAGAGCAGACGGAGCCACAACAGGAGTTGACCATGGTGTCAGAGGGTGGAGGTTGCTGTGGGTTTACAGACGGTGGGTTTGTGAGGTATGGGTGTCTCCCTGACCCTGCTCCCCTTTTATACCCTGCTGAGGGGCTGCTGGCATCAGGTGCAGTGCTCTTTCCTTGTTATTGTTTGTCCTGATAAATAGGTGATTATCAAATTAGGCAAGTGTATTTCCCCGCTTGAAATTTCTCAGCAGATTGGAAACATTATTTCCCTTTCCTGGTGTGTTAGAGTTCAGCCCATCGGCCCTTCCTGAATCACCTCCCGTGTGCTGGTGTTGAGCTTCTGCAGGAGCAGTCATGTGGCATTCACACTCTGGGCTCTGCAGCTCAGTCCCACGTGGCTGTACCTCCAGTGTCCTCAATTCTCCTGGACTGTGAGGACTTCTGGTGGCTCAAGTGGGTAGATGTGCGTCGTTGTCAGATCCCATTCCCTGCGTGACAAGGGGACAAGACATTGGGACTGTGAAATGAGGCCCCAGACAGTAGAACAACAAGGCTGGGAGGACATGTCCTGTCTCCACTCTGAACCACGGCCCACTTTCTAAATTTTTCATGGAAAAACACAGAACAGTTTCAAGGAAGAAAACTGTGCTGTGATTTTTTTTTCTCCATGCACAAACATCCAAGTGAGTTTTAGGAACTTGAGGAATCTGGATGCAGAAATGAGCCTCACCACACAGTTCAGTCCCCTCCCCTTCCTCCTCTTTGGACTGCTTCTCATCACCTGTTCTTGGCTGACAGGTGTGTGACCTGTGACCTGTGTCCAAGCCAAACCAGAGGACTCCAGTGTCCTGGCCTCTTAGCTTAGCTCACCCCTTCCATTTCTCTCTGCTGATCCCAGATCTGAGGGTGCACTCTCTACCTTGCTATTATTTAAAAGATTTATGCATTTTATGAGTTACACAGAGAGAGGAGAGGCAAGTAGAGAGAGCGAGGTCTTCCATCACTGGTTCATTCCCCGATTGGCTGTCAACAGCTGAACCTGCGCCTATCTGAAGCCAGGAACCAGGAGCTCCACTTGAGTGCAGGGGCCCAAGGACTTGGTCCATCTTCTGCTGCTTTCCCAGGCCATAATAGAAAGCAGGATGTGGGCCAGTGCCACAGCTCACTAGGCTAAACCTCCACCTGTGGTGCCAGCACACTAGGTTCTAGTCCCGGTTAGGGTGCCAGATTCTGTCCTGGCTGCCCCTCTTCCAGTCCAGCTCTGCTGTGGCCCAGGAGTGCAGTGGAGGATGGCCCAAGTCCTTGGGCCCTGCACCCGCATGGGAGACCAGGAGAAGTACCTGGCTCCTCGCTTTGGATCAGCACGGCGAGCCGGCTGCAGTGCGGCGGCCATGGCGGACACTGGAGGGTGAACCAACGGTTCATGTGGTTTTTGTTCTTCAGTTTGTTAATGTTCTGTATCACATTGATTGATTTGCAAATGTCAAACCATCCCTACATACCTGGGATAAATCTCTTGGTCCAGTTGAATGATCTTCCTGATATGTTGTTGGGATCATTGGTTTATATTACTGATTCATTTTCTGGCTAGGTTATCGGTCTGTTTAGGTTTCAATGTCTTCATAGCTCAATTTAGGTAAGTTTATGGGTCCATTAATCTGTCCACTTCTTCAAGATTTCCCAATTTTTTGGCATATAGCTCTTTGTAGTAATTTCTGATGAATCCTTTTATTTCTGTAGTGTCTGTTGTTACATTTCCTTTTGCACCTCTAATTTTTTTGATTTGGGTCCTCTCATTCTTTTTTTGTTTTTGTTAGTTGAGCAATTGTTGTGTCAATGTTGTTTACTTTTTTAAAAAAAAGCTTTTTGTTTTGCTGATCTTTTGTATTTTTCGATTCAATTTTGTTTATTCTCTAATTTTAATTATTTCTTTTCTTCTACTAGTTTTGGATTTGATTTGCTGTTGTTTTTCTAGATCCATTAGAAATATTGAAACCTCATTTATTAGTGCCTTTCCAACCAATTGCTATAAACTTTCCTCTTTACACTGCTTTTGCTGTATCCCACAAGTTTTGACATGTTGTATTGTCATCTTCATTTGCTTCCACAAATCTTTTCATTTCTTTTTTGATTCCTCCAATGAACCACTGTTCATTCAGGAGCACATTGTTTAGTCTCAGTGTGTTTACATATGGTCTAGAGATTCTTGAGTTGTTGATTTCCAGCTACATTCCATTATAGTCAAGGAAGTATGGTATATGTTGATTATTTTGAATTTGCTGAGACTTAATTTATGGCCTAGCATGGGGGTCTATCCTAGAGAAACTTCTTGCACTGGTGAGAAGCATGTGTATTCTGCATCTGTAGGATGAAATGTTCAGTAGATATCCATTAGATCCATGGGGTCCATCGTGTCGATAAACTCTGTTATTTCCTTGTGGATTTTTTGTATGGTTGATCTGTCCATTGCTAAAAGTAGAGTATTGAGGTCCCCTGTTACTATTATATTGGAGTCTATGTCTCCCGTTAGAGTCAGTAACATTTCTTTTAAATAGCCAGATGACCTGCATATATGTTTAAAATAGTCACATCTCCCTGTTGAATTGATCCCTTAATCATTGCAAAGTGCCCTTCTTTGTCTATTTTAACAGCTTTTGTGTTAAAGTCTGCTTTGTCTGATATTAGGATGGCTATACCAGTTCCTTTCCATCCTTCCACTTTCAGTCTTTGTTGGTGAGATGTGTTTCTTGGATGCAGCAAACAGATGGGTTTTATTTTTTAATGCTTTCAGCCAGTCTGTATCGTTTAACTGGAAAGTTGAGGCCATTTACATTCAAGGTGACTGTAGATAAGTAACGACTTTGCCCAGCCATTTTCCTATAAATATTCTTATTATTTCCTTTGGATTCCCTTTGTACTTTTACTGGGAGATTTTCTGCCTTCACCTTCTTTTGTAGTGATGACCGTGTTTCTGTGTTTCTATGTGTAGAACATCCTTAAGCATCTTTTGTAATGCTGGATGACTAGTGACAGATTCTTTCAATTTCTGCTTGCTGTGGAAGATCTTTATTTCACCTTAATTTATAAGTGAGAGTTTTGCAGGGTATGGTATTCTGGGTTGACAGTATTTTTCTCTTGAGACTTAGAATATATCTCACCGTTTTCTTCTAGCCTGTAGGGTTTCTGATCAGAAGTCCACTGTGAGTCCAGTTGCAAATCCTCTGAAAGGAATCAGGTTTCTCTTGTGCACATTTTAGAATCTTTTCTTTATGGTTTACTGTGGAAAGGTTGACTACAATGTGTCTGGCCATGTCTATTAGGAGTTCTGTGTGCTTCCAGCACTTAGATGTACCTTTGATTCTCCAAATTGGGGAGGTTTTCTGTAATTATTTCACTAAAAAGGTCTTCTGGTCCATTTTATTTTTCCATGCCTTCAGGAATCCTAATATCACTATGTTGGATTGTTTGATAGTACACTGTAAATTCTGACTCAATTTTTTAGTTTTCTAATTTGTTTCTTTTTCTTCTCTCTCTCTCTCTCTTTTTTGTGTGTGTGTGTGTGTGTGTGTGTGTGTGTGGTCTGACTGTAAAATTTCCATGGATTGGATATTTAACTTGGATCTTCTTTCTTCTGCCTCACTAGGCCAGTTCTTAAGATTTCCACCATATTTTATTTGTTCTATTTAATTTTAAATTTCAATGTGTCATTTTGATTTCTCTTTAAATCTCATTTGTGGGAAAAATTTTTATTCCTGTCATGTACAGATTTCTCTAGTTCATGAATTTGTTTCTGACTACTTCTAAGTAACGCTATGATCAGTTTTTGAAATCTGTTTCTTGGCCGGTGCTGCAGCTCAATAGGCTAAACCTCCTCCTGTGGTGCTGGCACCCTGGGTTCTAGTCCCAGTCGGGGCGCCGGATTCTGTCCTGGTTGCTCCTCTTCCACTCCAGCTCTCTGCTGTGGTCCGGGAGTGCAGTGGAGGATGGCCCAAGTGCTTGGGCCTTGCACCCACATAGGAGACCAGGAGGAATCTCCTGGCTCCTAGCTTTTGATCAGCTCAGTGCGCCGGCCGCAATGCCCCAGCTGTGGCCGCCACTTGGGGGGTGAACCAACGGCAAAGGAAGACCTTTCTCTCTGTCTCTCTCTCTCTCTCCCTGTCTGACTCTGCCTGTCAAAAAGAAAAAAAGAAATCTGTTGCTGACATTTCATCAATCTTTTTTTTTTTTTTTAATTTTTTGACAGGCAGAGTGGACAGTGAGAGAGAGAGACAGAGAGAAAGGTCTTCCTTTTGCCGTTGGTTCACCCTCCAATGGCCGCCGCGGCCGGCGCGCTGCGGCCGGCGCACCGCGCTGATCCGATGGCAGGAGCCAGGAGCCAGGTGCTTTTCCTGGTCTCCCATGGGGTGCAGGGCCCAAGCACCTGGGCCATCCTCCACTGCACTCCCTGGCCACAGCAGAGAGCTGGCCTGGAAGAGGGGCAACCGGGACAGAATCCGGCACCCCGACCGGGACTAGAACCCGGTGTGCCGGCGCCGCTAGGCGGAGGATTAGCCTAGTGAGCCGCGGCGCCGGCGACATTTCATCAATCTTTTTTTTTTTTTTTTTTTTTTTTTTTTTTTTTTTTTAATTTTTTAATTATTTTTTATTTTTTTTTAACTTTTATATAATGAATATAAATTTCCAAAGTACGATTTATGGATTACAATGGCTTCCCCCCCATACCGTCCCTCCCACCCACAACCCTCCCCTTTCCCACTCCCTCTCCCCTTCCATTCACATCAAGATTCATTTTCGATTATCTTAATATACAGAAGATCAGCTTAGTATACATTAAGTAAGGCTTTCAACCGTTTGCTCCCACACAGAAACATAAAGTAAAAAATAATAGATGATTTTTTTTAATGATGATGAAATCAGATCAGACCTATTGTCATGTTTAATCCCAGTGAGAGTCAAGTTGGGAGTTGATAGTTTCTTTTCTTTTCTTTTTTTTTTTTTTTTTTTTTTTTTTTTTTTTTTTACAGAGGATCAGTTTAGTATGCATTAAGTAAAGATTTCAACAGTTTGCACCCCCATAGAAACACAAAGTGAAATATATTATTTGAGTACTCATTATAGCAT